CAAACATACATGACAGTCTTAAATATTTGATCATTTATAGACTGCCTTAAAATGCAGTTCTGAGATAAACATTGTAAATGCAAAGCAAGAGCTAGGCTAACTGATCTTTTCCTCTGCTCTTCCACAGCGTGAGTGTATTTCAATGCACGTCGGCCAGGCCGGAGCCCAAATGGGCAATGCATGCTGGGAGCTGTACTGCCTGGAGCATGGCATCCAGCCGGACGGTCAAATGCCCAGTGACAAAACTATCGGAGGAGGTGACGACTCCTTCAACACCTTCTTCAGTGAGACTGGCGCTGGCAAACATGTTCCCAGAGCAATCTTTGTGGACTTGGAGCCGACAGTCATTGGTAAATATTTCTAAATGTGCAGCTTGGTCCCTTATTTTAAAACCAGTTGTGTATGAGAAAGTTTAAATTAATGTTTAAGTTCCCCACAAACGACTCCAGGTGAGCAAAAAGTCAGTCAGGTACACATCATTCTCCAGTATATTTGCAACTTCACCGGATAACAAGACATCGATCCCCTTTCTGTGCCATTTTCTTCAATCTGCTTTGATCCTTTCCCTGCTGATACCAACACTGCTGGCTCTGAGCTCTGGATTACATTAGCCACTTTACTTTTGTTGGCATCATTAGGAACATTTTTGTCATGTTCTCAGACTTCGTATCACTCAATCAGTGGAACAGCCTCTTGATGTTTGTCGAAGTTTCCCCTAACTGTCAAATTCATATTTGGTCAGACAGGTTTTACTACAAAAATCTGGCTTTCTTCTGACTAATGCTACCAATCTTCCATTTGCTATTTATTTGTGATGTCATTGCCATTTTTTGAACTCCTGCACAGTTGGTGTGGAGCACCCATAATTTTGTTGTACATGTACCATGACAATAAAAGGCTTTTCTAATAGAATAGAACAGAATAACTAGTTAGCTGCTCACTGTTGGTGCTAGCGGCACAAGTGAGGCACTTGAAAGCAAAACTAAGAGCCACATGCTTTGGATTTGGCCTTCACATAGGAATTGGTCCAAAGGCACTTGGAGGCAACTGCAAAAGTCAGACTTTATAATTTTTAAGTTGGGTTGCC